TGAAACAGAGAAAGACACTGGAAATGCCTTCCTTTATTTCTGCTAAAGCCATGATTACCTTTGACCATCAAAATGGCAAGTCCTGCATAAATTGAAATGAGGTACTGCATAAACTTTCCTCAATCCCATTGAAGCCTTCTGGGTTCAGATTTTAGCTGTCTACCACAGTCACTTGACCTGCTTTAAAGAAGACATGGCTAATGCAACATGGATTCTAAGAGTCCATCAGCTCAGCCCGGGGAGAATGAGTTCCCTATAGCAATGTTACATGGACAACCAAATCTTTCATTACCTCATATTTAGGGCTTAGCAACAGACATTCCATTGGAGGCAAACCCAATACTGGTGGGAGTGGGGATTGAATTTGAAGGGATTAAAGCAGAAGGATTTTGATTTATTGATGGGGCAGAAGAGGAAAAAGACAACTTAAGGATTAAAGAATCAAATTATGACACAAGTAACAGACCAAGTAGCATCAAGTCAAATTGACCACAGATATTAACTAAAACATGAATAGAAACATATATATATATATATATATATATATATATATATAGCAAAAGCAATCAAACCTATATATTTTCTAATGATCTAGAAGATCAAAACATTCCTTTAACTGAACCTGAACTGAGCCAATGTTTCATTTGGTTTGAGTCCCTGCTAAAGAGGAAAACTTTGACTTTCTTTTGCCTTCAAAGTAAAGTAGTTAAAATTCCCTGGAAATGGCTTATTTTCCACAACCATCAGTTACTCAGGTTGAATGAAGGTATGCGAACTGATCGACAAGTCCCTGATCTAAGAGACTAACCTAGGATGAAAATAGGGTGGTACTATCACGTCTTAAGGAGCTCTGGTGATGTAGTGGTTAAGGCACTTGGCTGCTAACCAAAAGGTTGGTGGTTTAAACCCACTAGCTGATATGCATAAGAAAGATGGGGCAGAATCCTTCCATAAAGATTTACATCCTTGAAAACCCAATGGGGGTCACTATGAGTCGGAATCAACTTGATGGCAGTGAGTTTTACCGCATCTTAGAAAAGGACAAAGAATGTCAGCCCTATCCAAATATTATTATTCTTTGTTTAAATGTATATTAACCTACATACATCCCTTGCTAACAGCTCAGAAAAACAATTTTAGGGGACAATTCTTTCTTAGTAAATCTAAAGTGTTTTTATGAGAAAAGTTCATGCTAATGGAAAACTCGGCATTGTCTACAGCTCACCCTTCTGGTTATCAGACTCTGATTCTGTAGGAGCTACTTTATAACTCTGTAATTTATAAATAACTGATAACAACGGAAATTATCCTTATCTATAGACTTGCAAATTGTCTTGTCCAAAGAGTAAACCAAGGCTCAGAGAAGGTAAGAGATGTCCTAAGTCACAAAGCTAGGAAGTGATGTAGCTGGCCTTCTTAGACAGATGTTAGGAGTGTGAGTAGGAGATGAAATGGGTATGTCAAATCCAAATCTTACCTAAGGTACTGTTTTGCCTAAGACCAGCTTTGCTCCTAGGAAATGTTGACTAAATGGATGTCTTGGACTACGTTCTAAACAAACTGCCACAGGACGGGCAAGGTCATGTTACCTGGATTCCCCCTGCAACCCTTTGTAACTGAAATCAGGTAGCGTTCTGGAAATATCATTTGAGATGAGCCCAAGCATTATGGAAATTATCATGAAGGCTGTCTAGGCTATGGTTTGACTTCATTTCTGTTCTTGAACTATCTGAAATAAAGATTCCAATTCTATGTACTGAGAACACCAGTTCTGTCTGTTTCCTGCTAGGGAGCAGGAGCTGGTTGTAATTCTGATACCTACCAAATAAAGTCCTGTTTTCTCTCTCAAATAGGTTGCTCCATTTACACTGTGAAAGAGAGGATGTTGTGAAGGAGCAAGAGAGATATTGCCTGCTAAGCCTAGGTTGGGATCTATTATAATTCCCTTCAATTTGAAAAATATTAAGTCCTACTGTATCCTTGATTGCCCAACTGTATTCTTGCTGTCTCTAATCTCTTTGAATCAATGAGGTGTATATTTTGTAGAAGAAGGGAATTCTGTAGGTAGCATGCTATCCAGATCTGGATAGCCCAAATAGTTAAACGTTCAACTACTAGCTGAAAAGTCAGCAATTTGAACCCACCTAGAGACTCCTTGGAAGCCAGGCCTGGTGATCTTCTTCCAAAAGGTAACTGCCCTGAAAACCCTATGGAGCATTTCTACTCTATACACATGGGGTCATCATGAGTCAGAATCAACTCCATGGCAACTAATTAACAACAACAAAATTATGTTTAATTACAGATGGTTATGTTCTTATGTGCTGGGTAAGCTCCAATTGGATATAGTTTGAAAAGAGAAACTATTGAATTCAAGTTGCTGCCACCCAGCATTTCTAACTAATGGGTTATGCAGTTTAAAAAACAGGTCCACAAAGTATCTTCGATACTCTTCCCTTCAAGAGGTGGAGCCTAATTCCTTCCCCTTTGAGTATGGTCTAGACTCAGTGACTGCTTCTAGTGAATGCAATAAACTTCTGCTTTAATGATGTGCAGTTTCAGAAACTAGGTCATAAAAGGCACTGCACCTTTTCCTTATTCAATCTCTTGAACCATTCATTCTGGGGAAGATCTTGCCAACAGCCATGTGAGTGAGTCGTCTTGGAAGTGGGTTCTCCAGCCCCAGTGGAGTCTTCAGATCACTGTTGTTGTTGTTGTTGTTATGTGCCGTCGAGTCAGCCCTGACTCATAGTGACCCCTCCTTGGGTTTCCGAGGCAGTATCACTACGG